CCCACCTGTCCCACTGCAGCCATACCTGCAGCCAGAAGAAGTCGGTCTGGGTGAACAGGTAAACAGGTGAGAGTCTGCAGGTGGGCTGAAGGTAAAGCATCCTCCCCCCTGCAGGGATTACGGCAGGTTAGTGGAGACACAAGCAAAGACGTATCTCGGCACAGCTGGATGCTAATTAATGCTCTCATCAGCCAGCGCTCCCACAGATCACCAACTTATGCAGAACATGACTTTAATTATCGTATCAGCAGGCAGGGGTCTGTCAGCCATGACAAACTCAGCCCTGGAAAGGAGACCTTTACCGACAGACACTCAATTACATGTTTGCAATCATCTTCATTTAACATCTAGGTTAAACTTTCTTCCTGTTCCACTGATTTCTCCTGCTCTGGTAAATTCAGACTTACTGTAAACAAAATAATAATAATGATCACTTAGATTTTTTCCGCACTCTTTGTAATTTTTTTCTACTTTGGTCAACTTTTTCTGACATATGAATTCCTAAAATGTCAAGAGCTGCTGCAAAGTTTCCATCATAAAACTCCAGTGTTTTCCCTGTAAATGTTTAATGTTCAGGCAGAAAGAGGAAAAAGCTTCTCTGCTGCAGTGTTTGGTTTAGTTTGGTTTAGTTTTCAGACGGTCCCACTCAGTCCCAACGCAGACATAGTCAAACTTTTTCTCTCCATTAAGCCGTGATGAAGAGATAATTACAGGTTTTTACTGTTAAATTTCTCCATTAAGGGACTGAAACCTGAGCTCAGATAAACCTGACTTCCAGTAAGTGTCAGAGATTTGACTGTTGCGTGAGCAGTGCAGCACGCAGTTGGCTGCAGCACTTTTGCTGCAGCCTCAGACTGAGGCCGGTGCAGCGCTGCAGCGCTCCCGGCTGCACTGAGCATGCTCAGTGAGTCTTACTGTGGGCGGCATCGTGAGGAACCCAGCAGAACTCTGTCAGGTATTCCTGGAGTTCCCCTGATGCCTCTGAGCTGCGTCAACACAGGAGCTGAAAATAAGTCCTGGCTGCAAACTGACATGTTTTTTTTTACCAGTTCTGCTGCGAATAAAAAGATTACGAATGAATTTATCATATGACTAAGCTAAACTCGCCTGATCTGATGTAAAACTTTATTTGCTTTAAATTCTGCAACAAGGTAAAACTACAAACATGAACGTTCTGTTAATGTTGGCGTCCACATTTACTGGCACCTTAAAATCCCACATAAAGAAGGAACCACTGGCTCTCCTAACACTTTCTCTAAATAAACATAATCAAAGCATTTTAAATTTTAAAGCTGAAAGCTGATCACAGCGTCTGCGACTTTCTATAAGTAAATCTGCAACACAGAAGCCAAGGTGCCGTCACAAGAACCTAACATTACATAGATGTTCTCAACTTTTTTGTCTTTTTTTTTTAAACCAACTGAAAAATGCAATATGGCCACCATTTGAATTTTGGTTTTGGTCATCAAAGAACATTTATTTTTGCACTAATTTTGTCAATATTTATCCCAGATGAAGACTTTTGTTGTCAAATCATACAGAATTTCTCAAGATGGTCATCAATATCTGCCATGGAACATAAATGTTTGCACTAAAATTACCAACCAGATGAATGTGTCTGGTGTCTGATCATAACCTTCATACTTTGAACCACAGAAATCATTATGTATGTTCTTCATCTTGCATTTCCATTTTCTGGTGGACATTTTTCAAAATGGCTGCCATAGATAAGGAGAAAATAGGTTTGGGCTAAAATCGATGGTAGCAACTGCCAGTGTTGAGCACAGAAAACCAGAACGTTAGTTCACTAATTCACTGAACAAGAATCTTTGCGCTAAATTAGCAGAAGCTAACGCCAAACCACTAAACATATAAAAACATTACAGAAGTTATTGCTAAATTACTAAACAGATATAAAAAACCTAGCAGAAGCTAACGCTAACATTAAGACGTCTGTCAGTTTGTCTCACTGGTGTGAAACTCGCAAACAGCAAAGTCCTGTTTTTGATTTTGCCACATATTGTTACTTTAGCGTTTTATAAATATTATGACCAAAGTTGAAAATGTACGAAGTGACAAAGTTCATCCACGTCATTAAAATGGGAAACGTTTTATTACAATAATTGGTTTAAAAGGCTCAAAAATCCCCAAATTCAGTTGGTAAAGGGAAACATGAAAACATGACCTGATGGGTGAGGATACATATGTTTATGTCTTTATACACATTTGGAATATTTTTACTGTAATAATTTGCACTATTAGTCCAAAGGAAACATCCAGGTCTGACTGAAATGTCCTGGACTTTGATGATCTGCGGTCCAGTGAATCCAAACGGTACAATCCTTCCTTATTCTTTGTTTTCTGCTGAATTGCACATTCAACATGTTGCAGCTCAGGTAGAAAGTTTGGTCTCTGTTTTATAAAACAAACAGCTGACCCTCCTACCAGGGTCTGTAAGCCTTTAAGACCCTCTCTATATGAGTTACTGCAGCATCCCAGCATTGATTTTGGTATTCTCAGCTTCGTGGGTCATGTTCTGAGCTGCTTTTGTCTCCGTTTATACTGATGTCTGATCCATCAGGGCTCCAGATTAAATTTAGACCCATTTTGCGACCGCTCCTGGAGAGAGCGCGGTTAATCTCATGAGAGAGAGAGAGAACATTCGGGTCCATGCAGACTGATTTGTTGCAGATTCCTCTCGACAATAAGAGGAGGAATCAGCTGGTGTTATCAAGCTGCAAAAGGCAAAAACCAATTCCACAGCAGACATAACTCCAGCTGAGATATTAGAGGCAGAATGAATGCTGCTGTTATCAGCGTGTCCTGCCGGGGAAGGGGAAGCTGAGGCTTGCATTGGACCAGCTAACAGCTTCTCCAAGAATGCTATCCACTAATTGATCTGCAGAAGATGCCAAACTTACAAAAAATGCAAGCTGAGTCTGTGAGTCAAAGGTGTTAAAAAAGAGCAAAGTTTCTAAAGATGAACAATCAGTGTGGCTGATTGAATCACAGCCGCGCTGGCTGGCACCTCTAGCAGATTTCTCTAGTGAGATTTTCACCTTTAAGAGTGAAAATTTAGAGGCAGAGAATCCAAACCCAGCTGAGAACCAGCCTCCAGTCCTCTGCTGAGCAATCATGACAATCTTTATTCCATTTCAGAACGTCAGGAAGCTCCGTGTTGGTTTCAGTGCTGCTCCGTCAAAACAATCCCACAGCACTGCTTGATGGATGCAAAGAAGAGTTCAATTTATACAAATTCAGGAAATTCCAGCTCTAACAACTAACAGGAGACGCAAACTAGCTTTTAGCATCTAATATTTTTAAGAGAATAATTTATAAAACAGTTTTCAGAACCTTTTCCAATCACTACTGTGGTCCAGTCAAAGTCCAGTGACTTCCAGAAATATTCACACCTCTTAAACTTTTCCACCTTTTGTCAAGTTACAACAACACACCTCAAAGTGTTTGTGGGTATTTTAAGACAGTCCAACACAACGTGGCGCTTAATTTACCGCCAAAGAGATTTCTGTCTACATTTCAGTGGTGGGCTCAGTTAAACTTTAAATCAAGTAATTTTCAGTTTCTGTAATTAATTAATCGGAATTATTTGCATTTTAACTAAAACCCATATATTTCCAAAATGAGAAACAGTTTGCTGCTAATTTATTAAATAAGTAAACATGAATGCAACAACAAAGTTATTTAAAGTTTTTAATCTTATTTAGATGATTAAACCATCAGATTGGAGTAAAGTGTTTTTCTTTCCAGAGTTTCAGGAAGTCCTGATCATTCCTGGAGCTTCTGTACAAATATGGACGCTGATGTTAGCGTTAGCTGCTACCTGTTTAGCCCTGAGATGCTATTTTGGGCTAGCATAGCTTCCGTGCTAGGCTAACTCCTTCTAGCACAACTTTGCACACAACAATACTCTTTTCCAGCATCCAATCAGATCATTTTACGGATTTTAACAGTTAAAATCTGTTTAATTAACTAATCAAAATATGCAGCAAACATGTGCAAAATGAAACCTTTTTACTGCAAAATACTGTGGGAAGAAAAACAGGGTGGTGGCAGCATGATGCTGTGGGGAAGCTGAAGGGAACCTAAGACCTGAGCAGGGTCAGCTTCCAGCAGGATAACGATCCTAAGCATTCATCCAGAATGACCGCAGAGCGGTTCAGATCAAGGCTTACTGTGTCAGAACGGCCTAGTCAAAGTTCAGACTTTAGTTCAGTTGAGAATCTGTGGTGAAATGAAAGTTCACAGACATTCTGCGTTCCAGGAGGCTGGCAGAAACATACTAATGAATACATCGGTTCTACAAAGAAAAGGGCTGAATTTAAACATTTCAGAGATTTCCCTTCATAATTACACCTCCGGTGATTTATCAGCTTAAAAACTAAATAAAAAGGAGAAGGAACGCCTCTGTAAAAGACTGGAGCAGAAAAACTGAAAAAACGGGCGGTTCTGAGTGAAGACAAACCCACTCAGCTTCTGTAAAGCAGCAAATGTTTGTCTGCGTGAGTAAACAGATTTTATCATAAAGCAACAAACTGCAGCTCCGGGTCTGACGCTCCACCATCAGTCCTTCAGCTGCAGCTTGATGCAAATCAAGATTCATTCATTTGCTAATGTGGATCTGTCTCTAGTACATTCTGATCCGATCCTATTTCCAGTGAATACAGTCAATAAAAGGTTTTTAAATTAGATTTAAGCTAATAATGTTGCGAAGTGAGCAGCTGAGCAGAAACATAGTGCTGGCCGGTAGGGGGAGCTACTCCTCTGACACCGGGTGGTGGACAGTTCCCGGTGCTGAAAGCTCAGCAGCCGGAAAAACTGCAGACAAACAAACTGCCACATGTGATTAGGAAAAACAGACCGCAGATTCCCGCTCTGCTCCACGGCCAAATTCAGGAAAATCACAAATGGAAACCAAAGTTTCTGAACCTGAAGCAGCAGCGAATGAAGGGGATGTGACAGGTGAGGCGCTGAGGACTCACCTGGTTGGTGAAGAAGCGCGCGCTCTCCGAGATGAACAGCTGGACCAGGATGTGCAGCCCGGAGGTGAAGAGGCCGGCCAGGATGGCCCAGGTGAGCGGCAGCGGCAGCATGCTGTAGGTGGCGAACAGCGTGAACAGGACGTAGCCCACGCCGTCCCCCAGCAGCCCGTAGCCCAGGCCGGCCGCCAGGATCTGCGTGGCCATGGCCACCCAGGTGACCACGCCGCTGTACTGCAGGTAGCTGTGCGAGGTGGTGTCCTTCCGCACCACCACTAAGGCACAAATGACCACCTCTATGCCGGTGAAGAAGCCCAGCAGCGTGCCCTTGATGGGATCCATGGGGGTGGAGGCCAGGGTGAGGTGCAGCACCAGCAGGGTGAGCTTGGTCACCACGTCCAGGATGTTCATCACCACCACGGACTTCCGCCGCTGGCCCAGGAAGTAGCGCTGGTAGAGCCGCTCCAGATCGCGCGACTTGAAGGCGTTCCGCAGCGTGGGGAAAATCACGCCCCGGTACGTGTAGCCCCAGTTCAGGAAGAAGTCCGAGTTACTGGGCGCGCAGTCGATCTGCAGGAAGCCCAGGTCGCTGCTCGCCCGCTCGGGGAACACTTTGGTCCCGCCGTTATTGTGCCGGTCCCCCACCGAGGTCCGGCCCGCGGACTGCTTCCTCGCGCCCTGGATCGGGTCGAAGGGGTCGTCTTTGGCCCCCCCGCCGCCGCCGCCCTGCTCGTGGATGAAGCGCTGCTCGGTGATGTGCCGCACCGCGTTCTGCCACAGCAGCCGCTTGGGCCGCGCGCTGCCGCCGCCGCCGCTGCCGCTGCTGTTGCCGCTGCTGCTCGGCGTCTTGTTGATAGTGTACAGCTCCTCACTCGCGCTGGAGCAGCGCACCTCCGACAGCTCCATCACCACCTCTCAGCTCCGATCGTCTGTCTCAGTGTCTCCTCTCCTCCTGCTCCTCCGGACTCTCAGTCGGATCAGCGGTTCTGGGGACACGACGTCTTCTCGTGCGCATCGAACCGAGGGCGCGTGCTTTTCTTTCGGGTTGGGGTGGGAACGGCGCGGGGCACAGCGCGGCTGGAGGTCATTGTCAAGACAGCGGATCCCTTACAGAACCTTCCGAACCGATCTCGCCTCTGCCGGACCAGCCATCATGATCCCCGCGTGGGAAAATCACCGCGTGGCGCGTCCGAGCAGCGACCGCAGCTCGAGCCACTGTGACCGGACCGCGGACACCATCAGGGGGTCGCGGCGCCACGCAGAGCCGGGACCGTGGAACAGAAAGGGACTCTGTTTGGTAACGGGTCGGAGGATCCGAGTCCAACCGAACCGGAACCAGAACCAGAGCGGGATTAACACGCTGCAGGAATTCCTAGTTTTCCTTTAAAGATTCCCAAAAGAATCACCAGGCGTGGAGAAAAAAAGAAAAGCAGAACAAGAACTTCATAAAATCCGATTTATGAATCCAGAGGAAATTCGGAACCTCAAACTTGTTGCTGCGCGCGAGCCTCCACCTTCAGGATCCGGCGTGGATCAAAGCTCCATCCCGCGCGCTGGTAACACCTGTCTGACAGCGCGAGGCGAGCAGGCACGCTCCAACCAGTAAATAAATAACGCGTCCGATGCCTCCCCGTTCAGCGCGAGGCGAGGCTGATCTTCCTCCTCCTCCTCTTCCTCCGGTCCCTCCCTGTAAGACCTCCGCGGTGTTTCAGAGCCGCGGCGGCCGCGTGCAGAGGCGCAGAGAGCGGCGGCTGGTCAGCTCCACTCCGCTCGGGTTTGACGTCACCCTCCGTGTGTCTGCGCTCCCTCTCTCCTCCCGCCTAACCCACGGTGTCATCCCACGCGCCTCAGCTCATCCTTTTGTCTGCTAACTCTCTCCTCTCCGCTCCGCTCATCGCGCCTCCTTCTTCCTCTCCGCCGCTTCGCGCCTCCTTCCGTAACTGGGTCACTTTTGGATCAGGCAGCCAGCCTACATTCTGGATCCGTTCCCACGGATTTCCTCGGGATTTTAGCTGAAATGCTGCAAACTTGACTCTACTTACGGCAACCTGGCATAACATTATGACCACTAAAGGGGATCTTCTGTTTTTCCTGATGCGATGTTACAGTTTGAACAGAACAGACAGATTTAGGGTCTGGACTTTGACTAAGCCATTCTAACACACATACATTTGGAATAATATGATGCGTCCCCGACTGTAGATCAATAATGGTACAAATGGAGCTGATGCAGATAAAAACTTTTTAAACGTCTTAAATGGAAATTGTTTGGTATATCACAAACCATTTTTACGTTTATTTATGCTGCACTTTAAGTTTTTTACTTTTAAAACGTCGGCCCAGGAGCAGGGCGGGCCATCGGGAGGTTCGGGAGGTTTCAGGCCGGACCAATCAGCAGTCAGAATCTTTTGTTGTTGTTTGTTTGCTTGTTTTATCCCTTAAAGTTCATCCCAAACATCCACCAACAAACCGCCCTCTGTAGGCTCAGGTATTTCAGAGTAGCAGCTTTTATTCCGCCTTCATGTTTTCCAGTGAACCAGATGAGTTTGGCATGAAGGTCAAAATGTTTTGACTGATCAGAGGAAACTTCTTTCTCTGTTTCTGTCGCCTCCGAACTCTTTATGGTTTTTCTTTAAGCAAAGTGTTTCTTCTTCTTCATTCCTCCAGATTTCTGGAGTCTGTGTTAAATGACCAAATGACACACAGGTTGGCTCTGTTTTGGCCTTTAGGTAACTGCTGGCAGTGGACTTAGTTTCTGGGTGTCTGAAGGATCAGACATCTGATCTCAAACTTCTTTAAATCTGAGCTCGATGTGCTGTTGAAGGCCTACTTCATGCTGCCAGCAGGGATCTCTTGATTTGGAATGAGGAAAAGCAGGTCTGGGTGTAGAGGGTGAAACTGAACCTAAAACGTGTTTAATAAAATTTAATTTATGATTTAATGAGAGGAATTTATCTTTTAAGTAGCTTTTTCCCTTAATAAACGAAATAATGATTTAAAAACTGCTTTTTGTATTTACTTGAGTTATTTTTAAAGTTTATTTGATCTGAAGTATTGAAGGTATTATGGTACATCTCCACCTTTAACTTTTCAGTTTCTGATCTTAGGGATCTGATTGCAATAATCTGAATTTTTCCTAGAAATCACTTGATAAATGGAGGGAAATTATGGAAAATGGAGTATTTCTTACTTCTTAACAAGCAGCATCTGTTTTCTGACTGTAACTTCTGTCCGTCTGCTGAATCCGGCTGTTTCTCAGCGCCATCCAACTCATTTCTCTCTGGCACTTCATGATCTTATTTTTTATTTTTATCCAAAAACAAAAAGGTGCCTGCAGCTTGAAATGTGCCACACATAATCAAACAAACAGAACTTAAGAACAGAAGTTACATAAACAAAAGATTAATATCTGTATAAAGTCAACAGACGGTCGGGTCCAGATTACAGTTCATACATC